GTGGGGGTGTAGATGTGGTTGATGGTGCTGTGGTCTGGATGTAGGTCCTCTCTGCGGGGGTCCTCTATGTGTAGGACCTGGGGGGGGTCCCGCAGGTCTGGGAGAGTGTCTCGCTGGTCTGGGCGGGGTGTCTGTTGATCTGTTGCTCCTGTGTGAGGTGTTGGGTCTGCGGTTGAGGGCGATATCCTTTAGGGTCCGGGCGAAGGTGGGCACTGCTGCCTTGTATAGGTGGACCTGGTCGTAAAGGCTGTTCACGTCCAGGGTGGAGTGGTGGGCCAGGAAGACATTTGGTTTTGATGCACAGTCACGGGAAATACTTGCGTTTACCCGCTGTATGGTAGCAGGGTGGAAGTCTTTTCGTGGTAACAGAGTTGAGATAACCACTTGTGCGTTGGGGAAAGTAGAAGAAGCTTTTTCTATCACTCCCTTGAGTGATATGGCCACCCTTTCCTGCTGTGTTCTCAGGTCGTTTGTGCCTGTGTGTATTATTATGTGGCTGGGTGATCCTAGTCGGTCCTCACACAGAAGGTCTAGGGCGCGCTGGGTGTTTGGACACCAGAGTTTAGACACTGTGTGTTTTGGAAAAGTTTATTTTCTTGTATGTATTTCCCGTTTGAGTCCATAAGGAGTACAATCTGTGGCTTGTGTATGTCCTCAGTGGGTGTGGGGGGGTCGTCATGAGGGCTATCAGGGTGTCTGACTGGGGGGTTGCTCAGAGGGGTTGGGGTCCCCAGGGCTTGGGGTTCTTCATTTGTTTGTCTGGGTGTGATGTCGAGGCTATGGTCAGGGTCTAGGGTGTACTGTTCTGCTGCGGTGTCGAGACTTTGGCCAGGATCTGAGGTGGGCTGTTCTCTAATGGGTTGTTCAATGTCACCCGTCATCGTTCTCACCTTCTCCTCCAGCACTCTGATCCTCTCCTCTAGTGCTCTGTTCTTCTCCTGCTCCTGCTTTTTCTCCTGTTGATGTTGTCTCACCACAGTCCAGAGTGCAGACATGTCTCTCTCCACCTGCAGCTCTCCAGGTCTAGTTAAGGGGGTGTTGTTGTGCTGGACTGTTGTCTGGGTCTGTGCTGACTGGAGTGTGTTCACCTGCTGTTCCAGCTCCACCTGCCTTACCTCCAGCTGGGTGAATTTATCCTTCATTTCAATGAGGGAGTAGTACTCTGTGCTGGGAAGTTGAGTTTCTGCTTGGGGTTGCTCTGTGGGGTTATTTAATGAAGAGGTCTGGTCTGACCCGCTCGGGGTAGGGGTATCTTTCTCAAGGGAGAGCTTCTCCTGCTGAGCTATTTCTTTGATTAGGTGAAAGTCCAGCTAGAACTGTTTGGTGTTGCCTTGAACCAAAACGGTTCCAGATTTATAGAGATTAATATTAGACGACTCAGAGTCCTCGTTGTCCAGTATCCTGAGTTTCCACCCGTCGCTAACACCCCCCCTCTTAACAGAGGGGTAGTGTGCTAGTATAGCACTGTGCCATGCCAGGGGATGGTCTGTGTGGAAGATAAGGTTGCTTATGTTCCCATTTTTATACAAATCAGCAAAAAGTGTCTCGTGCTTCCCCAAAATAAGTTTCAATTTGTACTCTTTTCGTGTCTTGTCGTTTTTTACATTCAGAGGGTACTGTATTTTAATGACCTCTGAACAGTGGGGGGGTGCTTCTAAGGCCTCTCCATTTAGTTGGGGTAGACTGTACGACTCTCCTGCCATTGTTGGGCTCAAGGGCTTTGACACCTCTCACTTCACACGTCAGTGCTAATTGAAATTGTATCTCTTTGTAGCAAGCTTAAGCTTGGTAGCCTTAGAATTCAGTCCTTATAATAGAAAATATATCATTGTAATGAATTTTTCTTCTTGGTTTTTGAAAGTGAAAAATAGCTTCATACTAAACATTACTCACTCAGTTCCAGGTTGGATGGTGTTTTCAGGTTTCTGTTTGTTTTCCAGAGCATTTGCTGTATAGTTTGAGAATAGTAATCCTTGGTAGTAGAAAGCTTTCCAGGTAATTCCGTCCAAAATCAGGTTGTAGGTTTGGAGTTTTGGTTTGGAATGAAGGTTATGTTGTGGAGGGTAGCATCCTGTATATGTCCCTGCCAAAAAATCCTACTTTATCTAACTCTAAATCTATATTTTTTTGTTAAAAATGCAGGAGCAATGTCTTTGAGCTCTCTCTCTCTCTCTCTCCTTTGATATTTCACACAGAGCACACTACTGTGTACATACAGTATTCATGTTCTGTTTGAAGTTATGGCTGTTCATCTATCGTTGTAACATAATGGAGACTCATGGTATGGAAGACATGTTCAGTTAAGGATCTTTAGCACACGTAACTGGTGCACTTTTGAACGAATCATGCACAGAATGCTGTGGCATCAATGGGACATTGCCTCACTAGTGATGTCATTGTCAGATATGTAACAAGGTATCGTAGAGATTTTTATTTTGAGATCTACTCTCAATAAGGCTCTGCTCTCACTTTTCTGTGTTTTATGATCTGTACAGATGTTATAACTAATATCAATATTAAATTGACAGAATAATATATTTTAGATTGACATGTTTGACTATTTGGCAAGAAGTGCAATTCCTTCCTGAAATAGTGGACTGACAAACTTCAGTTGAAAATGTTATTGTATAATCCCCCCACCCTCCAGTGTAGGAGACGTGGGAACTCTTTGTAAAATATATATATATATATATATATATATATATAAAGTAGAAAAGAGAACAGTACAGATTAAGTGAAGGAAACAAGGCGATAACACCTAAGACCATTGAGATGCACCCATAGAGAGAGAGACAGCTCTACTAAAACCATTGAGATGCACCCATAGAGAGAGACAGCTCTACTAAGACCATTGAGATGCACCCATAGAGAGAGACAGCTCTACTAAGACCATTGAGATGCACCCATAGAGAGAGAGACAGCTCTACTAAGACCATTGAGATGCACCCATAGAGAGAGACAGCTCTACTAAGACCATTGAGATGCACCCATAGAGAGAGAGACAGCTCTACTAAGACCATTGAGATGCACCCATAGAGAGAGAGACAGCTCTACTAAGACCATTGAGATGCACCCATAGAGAGAGCGACAGCTCTACTAAGACCATTGAGATGCACCCATAGAGAGAGAGACAGCTCTACTAAGACCATTGAGATGCACCCATAGAGAGAGAGACAGCTCTACTAAGACCATTGAGATGCACCTATAGAGAGAGAGACAGCTCTACTAAGACAATTGAGATGCACCCATAGAGAGAGACAGTTCTACTAAAACCATTGAGATGCACCCATAGAGAGAGACAGCTCTACTAAAACCATTGAGATGCACCCATAGAGAGAGACAGCTCTACTAAGACCATTGAGATGCACCCATAGAGAGAGACAGCTCTACTAAGACCATTGAGATGCATCCATAGAGAGAGAAAGCTCTACTAAGACCATTGAGATGCACCCATAGAGAGAGAGACAGCTCTACTAAGACCATTGAGATGCACCCATAGAGAGAGACAGCTCTACTAAGACCATTGAGATGCACCCATAGAGAGAGACAGCTCTACTAAGACCATTGAGATGCACCCATAGAGAGACAGCTCTACTAAGACCATTGAGATGCACCCATAGAGAGAGAGACAGCTCTACTAAGACAATTGAGATGCACCCATAGAGAGAGACAGCTCTACTAAAACCATTGAGATGCACCCATAGAGAGAGACAGCTCTACTAAGACCATTGAGATGCACCCATAGAGAGAGACAGCTCTACTAAGACCATTGAGATGCATCCATAGAGAGAGAAAGCTCTACTAAGACCATTGAGATGCACCCATAGAGAGAGAGACAGCTCTACTAAGACCATTGAGATGCACCCATAGAGAGAGAGACAGCTCTACTAAGACCATTGAGATAGACCCCGGTAGTGGCTGCAATGGGCTCAATGGAATACTGTACATTGTCTTTCCGTTGCATCTATAAGAACGCTAAAGCTTCGTCGTTGATTAAACGTATCGTCTCGAACACTTACATCACAAGAAAGATAACATAATTTTGATGGGTGCTAATTTCCTATGGAATTGAACAAATTTATAATTTAATACCTGTGAAATGTTTACAAATTAGAAGTGCTGAAATTGTGCATTCTAAGATTTTTTTGATTAAATTTGAAAATAAATTGAATACCTGAATTCTCACCATAATCCCTGAACTCAATTCATTGTCCGTGCAAGTAAAATGTTTTATGTGCTATAATTCAGTCAATATCTGATGGATAAAGAATCAAATAAAGTTTGGAGTATCTATTAGAATTGTTTTTAAAACCTTTTAACAATTTTGATGACCGTTGCTAGAGAGAGAACTCCACCTAAGACCATTGAGATGCACCCATAGTGAGAGACAGCAACAGAGACAGAGACAGAGACAGAGAGACAGAGAAAAACAGAGAGAGAGACAGAGAGACAGAGAGAAAGTGAGAGAGAGAGTGAAAGTGAGAGAGAGAGAGAGTGAAAGTGAGAGAGAGAGAGTGAAAGTGAGAGAGAGAGAGTGAAAGTGAGAGAGAGAGTGAGAGAGAGACAGAGAGAGAGAGAGAGAGAGAGAGAGAGCTCTACCTTGGTGTCCCAGTTGTAGTGGTAACCCAGGGTCACCCAGCGAAGCTTTTCCAGCAATGTCTTGGGCTCCCTGACCCTCGAACCTGTCTTCCTGTTGGGAATCAAACAGACCATACCAGGCTCAGGCATCGGCTAAAAGCAAGGCTACCCATTCAAGTCAATTGATTACATAGACACCCTACGCTTTTCACATGTATCAACATTTAAAATAAAACCTTCAAGTCTGAGAAATAGAGATAATGATCACATATAGTCCTTTGATTGAATCGGGTCTCTCTAGGCAAAATCGATGGGAGTTGAGTTCCATTCTGATAAACTATTCATTTTCACTCAAATAAGAATGGGAAACACACACAACACTCTAGCAGTATGTCCGCTGGTGCTGAAAGTAGTTAGTCTATTTACCGGAGCGTGTCTGCACTCTTCCCCCAGATGTCCTGTGTTTCCGCGGGCGCCATGTGCATGTCCAGGTTACACGCGTTGGGTTTCTGTGGGTAGGTCTTCAGACACTGTCTCACCCAGTGCTGCTGGGAGCCTGGTAGGAACGGGTTGGAGATGAAGATGAACCCTTTAGGGGGGAGGAAACACAGGGATTCAATTCAATACAACTTTATTGATCCCCTCAAGGGCCAGGAAGGTACATCAACAACAGATGAGGGGGGTGTCAAGACGAGTGGTGTAGTGGAGGGCAAACACATTAGCATTTACCTAGCCTGACACGCCCATCCACAGGGCTCCTGACAAACGTCACGCCCACTAGTGTTTTTTTCTGCACAATGAGTTTGGATTTGATTTCCTCCCCACCGTTTTTTATAGAACGCGAACACATTTTGACAGTTCTGATTGGTCCCAGAAACCGATGGGTTGGGCCAGACCAGGCCTACACGAATCATGAATCACGTAATTGGCTTTGATACTCTGATTGTTTAGAAAAGATCCAATCACTATGAATTTTGTTTTGTACAACGCCCCTCATTTTGACGTCAGCACAAACAACTTCTAGGATGGCAGTTTCAGACAATGTATGGAGCGACCGATAGAGCAGCGAAATGTAATTCAGGATAAGTTGTCAGGCAAACATTTACCCACCTTTTGCGGGAAAATGCATTGAAAGTATAGGGAGCATGACTTTACTCACCGCGAACGCGTTCAGCATTAACCCACCTCTTCTTTTACCACTACATCACTGGTCAAGACCTACGTCTAGAGTAAAAAAAAAAAAACATCTATCTATAAAAAGTAACATCTCACATACATACTGACTAGGGATAGTTGAAGGGTAAAATGTCTGCTATATGACAGCTCATATTAAAAAAACTGTTAAAAGTACTACATATCAGTGGAGGCTGCTGAGGGGAGGATGGATCATAATAATGGCTGAAACAGAGTAAATGGAATGGCATCAAACACATAGAAACCATAGAAACCATGTGTTTGAAACCATTCCACCTATTCCGCTCCAGCAATTACCACGAGCCCGTCCTCCCCAATTAAGGTGCCACCAACCCCCTGTGCTACATATCTGAATCAATTCAGTCGGGAGTCAGGACTAATATTATTAGACAACTGTTACCCATCATGGTCCTGGAGAGTTCATATGATGTGCAGGATTTTGTTACAACACAATGCCACTAGCCTAATAACCTTGACCTACCTGGATAATCCTGCAGCCCAAAGGCTGTCCAGTCTCCGATGGGGCGAAGGCCCGCCCTCCTGGCCTCAGCATCACTCACTGCAGCTGGGTTCAGTTCGGTGGGAAAGACCTGTCAATCACCATCACACAATGTCATTAGATGAAATCACATCATCCAGAGAGTTCATAGTGGGCATATCCTAACAGTATATATATATATATATATATATATATACACACACACACACATATATACATACAGTGGGGAGAACAAGTATTTGATACACTGCCGATTTTGCAGGTTTTCCTACTTACAAAGCATGTAGAGCACTGTAATTTTTATCATAGGTACACTTCAACTGTGAGAGACGGAATCTAAAACAAAAATCCAGAAAATCACATTGTATGATTTTAAAATAATACAATTTGCATTTTATTGCATGACATAAGTATTTGATACATCAGAAAAGCAGAACTTAATATTTGGTACAGAAACCTTTGTTTGCAATTACAGAGATCATACGTTTCCTGTAGTTCTTGACCAGGTTTGCGCACACTGCAGCAGGGATTTTGGCCCACTCCTCCATACAGACCTTCTCCAGATCCTTCAGGTTTCGGGGCTGTCGCTGGGCAATACGGACTTTCAGCTCTCTCCAAAGATTTTCTATTGGGTTCAGGTCTGGAGACTGGCTAGGCCACTCCAGGACCTTGAGATGCATCTTACGGAGCCACTCCTTAGTTGCCCTGGCTGTGTGTTTCGAGTCGTTGTCATGCTGGAAGACCCAGCCACGACCCATCTTCAATGCTCTTACTGAGGGAAGGAGGTTGTTGGCCAAAATCTCGCGATACATGGCCCCATCCATCCACCCCTCAATACGGTGCAGTTGTCCTGTCCCCTTTGCAGAAAAGCATCCCCAAAGAATGATGTTTCCACCTCCATGCTTCACGGTTGGGATGGTGTTCTTGGGGTTGTACTCATCCTTCTTCTTCCTCCAAACACGGCGAGTGGAGTTTAGACCAAAAAGCTCTATTTTTGTCTCATCAGACCACATGACCTTCTCCCATTCCTCCTCTGGATCATCCAAATGGTAATTGGCAAACTTCAGACGGGCCTAGACATGCGCTGGCTTGAGCAGGGGGACCTTGCGTGCGCTGCAGGATTTTAATCCATGACGGCGTAGTGTGTTACTAATGGTTTTCTTTGAGGCTGTGGTCCTAGCTCTCTTCAGGTTATTGACCAGGTCCTGCCGTGTAGTTCTGGGCTGATCCCTCACCTTCCTCATGATCATTGATGCCCCACAAGGTGAGATCTTGCATGGAGCCCCAGACCGAGGGTGATTGACCGTCATCTTGAACTTCTTCCATTTTCTAATAATTGCGCCAGTTGTTGCCTTCTCACCAAGCTGCTTGCCTATTGTCCTGTAGCCCATCCCAGCCTTGTGAAGGTCTACAATTTTATCCCTGATGTCCTTACACAGCTCTCTGGTCTTGGCCATTGTGGAGAGGTTGGAGTCTGTTTGATTGAGTGTGTGGACAGGTGTCTTTTATACAGGTAACGAGTTCAAACAGGTGCAGTTAATACAAGTAATGAGTGGAGAACAGGAGGGCTTTTTAAAGAAAAACTAACAGGTCTGTGAGAGCCGGAATTCTTACTGGTTGGTAGGTGATCAAATACTTATGTCATGCAATAAAATGCAAATTAATTATTTAAAAATCATACAATGTGATTAGATTCCGTCTCTCACAGTTGAAGTGTACCTATGATAAAAATTACAGACCTCTACATGCTTTGTAAGTAGGAAAACCTGCAAAATCGGCAGTGTATCAAATACTTGTTCTCCCCACTGTATATATATATATATATATACATACAGTTGAAGTCGGAAGTTTACATACACTTAGGTTGGAGTCATTAAAACTTGTTTTTCAACCACTCCACAAATGTCTTGTTAACAAACTATAGTTTTGGCAAGTCGGTTAGGACATCTACTTTGTGCATGACACAAGTAATTTTTCCAACAATTGTTTACAGACAGATTATTTCACTTATAATTCACTGTATCACAATTCCAGTGGGTCAGAAGTTTACATACACTAAGTTGACTGTGCCTTTAAACAGCTTGGAAAATTCCAGAAAATGATGTCATGGCTTTAGAAGCTTCTGATAGGCTAATTGACATATTTTGAGTCAATTGGAGGTGTACCTGTGGATGTATTTCAAGGCCTACCTTCAAACTCAGTGCCTCTTTGCTTGACATCATGGGAAAATCAAAAGAAATCAGCCAAGACCTCAGAAAAAAAACTGTAGACCTCTACAAGTCTGGTTCATCCTTGGGAGCAATTTCCAAACGCCTAAAGGTACCATGTTCATCTGTACAAACAATAGTAAGCAAGTATAAACACCATGGGACCACGCAGCCATCATCCCGCTCAGGAAGGAGACGCGTTCTGTCTCCTAGAGATGAACATACTTTGGTGCGAAAAGTGCAAATCAACCCCAGAACAACAGCAAAGGACCTTGTGAAGATGCTGGAGGAAACAGGTACAAAAGTATCTATATCCCCAGTAAAACGAGTCCTATATCGACATAACCTGAAAGACCGCTCAGCAAGGAAGAAGCCACTGCTCCAAAACCGCCATAAAAAAGCCAGACTACGGTTTGCAACTGCACATGGGGACAAAGATCATACTTTTTGGAGAAAAATCCTCTGGTCTGATGAAACAAAAATAGAACTGTTTGGCCATAATGACCATCGTTATGTTTGGAGGAAAAAGGGGAACGCTTGCAAGCTGAAGAACACCATCCCAACAGTGAAGCATGGGGGTGGCAGCATCATGCTGTGGGGGTGCTTTGCTGCAGGAGGGACTGGTGCACTTCACAAAATAGATGGCATCATGAGGAAGGAAAATTATGTGGATATATTGAAGAAACATCTCAAGACATCAGTCAGGAAGTTAAAGCTTGGTCGCAAATGGGTCTTCCAAATGGACAATGACCCCAAGCATACTTCCAAAGTTGTGGCAAAATGGCTTAAGGACAACAAAGTCAAGGTATTGGAGTGGCCATCACAAAACCCTGACCTCAATCCTATAGAAAATGTGGGCAGAACTGAAAAAGCGTGTGCGAGCAAGGAGGCCTACAAACCTGACTCAGTTACATCAGCTCTGTCAGGAGGACTGGGCCAAAATTCACCCAACTTATTGTGGGAAGCTTGTGGAAGGCTACCCGAAACGTTTGACCCAAGTTAAACAATTTAAAGGCAATGCAACTAAATACTAATTGAGTATATGTAAACTTCTGACCTACTGGGAATGCGATGAAAGAAATAAAAGCTGAAATAAATCACTCTCTCTACTATTATTCTGACATTTCACATTCTTAAAATAAAGTGGTGATCTAACTGACCTAAGACAGGAAATTTTTACTAGGATTAAATGTCAGGAATTGTGAAAAACTGAGTTTAAATGTATTTGGCTAACGTGTATGCAAACTTCAGACTTCAACTGTATATATATATATATTCTACCGTTCAAAAGTTTGGGGTCACTTAGAAATGTCCATTAAAATAACGTCAAATTGATCATAAATACAGTGTAGACATCGTTAATGTTGTAAATGGCTATTGTAGCTGGAAACTGTTGTTCTTGAGACCAGTTGAGTATCTGGAGCATCAGCAATTGTGGGTTCGATTACATGCTCAAAATGGCCAGAAACCAAGAACTTTCTTCTGAAACTCGTCAGTCTATTCTTGTTCTGAGAAATGAAGGCTATTCCATGCGAGAAATTGCCAAGAAAAAGCCATATCTCAGACTGGCCAATAAAAATTAAAGATTTAGATGGGCAGTCTGAGATATGGCTTTTTCTTTGCAACTCTGCCTAGAAGGTAAGCATCCCGGAGTCGCCTCTTCACTGTTGACGTTGAGACTGGTGTTTTGCGGGTCCTATTTAATGAAGCTGCCAGTTGAGGACCTGTGAGGCGTCTGTTTCTCAAACTAGACACGCTAATGTATTTGTCCTCTTGCTCAGTTGTGCACCGGGGCCTCCCACTCCTCTTTCTATTCTGGTTAGAGCCAGTTTGCGCTGTTCTGTGAAGGGAGTAGTACACAGCGTTGTACGAGATCTTCAGTTTCTTGGCAATTTCTCGCATGGAATAGCTTTAATTTCTCAGAACAAGAATAGATGACGAGTTTCAGAAGGAAGTTATTTGTTTCTGGCCATTTTGAGCATGTAATCGAACCCACAATCGCTGATGCTCCAGATACTCAACTAGTCTCAAGAACAACAGTTTTATTGCTTCTTTAAATCAGCACAACAGTTTTCAGCTGTGCTAACATAATTGCAAAAGGGTTTTCTAATGATCAATTAGCCTTTTAAAATGATAAACTTGGATTAGCAAACACAACGTGCCATTGGAACACAGGACTGATAGTTGCTGACAATGGGCCTCTGTACGCCTATGTAGATACTCCATAAAAAATCTGCCGTTTCCAGCTACAATAGCCATTTACAACATTAACAATGTCTACACTGTATTTCTGATCAATTTGATGTTATTTTAATGGACAAAAAAATTGCTTTTCTTTCGAAAACAAGGAAATGTCTAAGTGACCCCAAACTTTTGAACAGTAGTATATATATATATATATATATATATATATATATATATATATATATATATATATATATATTTATTTTTTTACATGACTATGACTGAACCAGTTTGCAAAGTGAAAGATGATTACTCTGTTTATTTTATGGAAATTGAAAGACTGTGTATTAGTTTATGAAAATCACAATCTAATCGCACTTGTTTTGCTGTTAGTTCTCCAATAAAATGTACAACAACAAATGGCGAGTGACACGCCCACGCAAAAGTGTTAATACACTGCAATTTATCCAATAGTTGACTTGACTACGTTTGATAACACATTCATTCACTTTCTAGATGTTAATTGTATATCAGTAGGCTATCTGGTAGTATTGTCGAACTAGTTAGTTAACGGTAGATAGCTAGCTACAGCCAGTAGCATTACATTAGGAGAGGGGAAGTTCGTCTGTTTACATATCAATATTCGTTGCTAGCTAGCTATATTGGAAACGCTCACCTTCTCATGTTTCGCCATTTTTGAGAAGTCAATGACATCGCTGAAATCTGGTGGAGGATTTCTTCGCTTGTAAAATTTGAACAATTTTCTAAATGCATCTTCCCCATGCTCCACCATGGAGGCCGCCATCTTTGCCATCACTAAAATGACCTTTCAACTCTAAAAAAATAAATGAGCAAAACATTAAAAGCACAGCCTGTTAAATATGTAAAGGAAAGTTGACATTTTAGTGATTTTAAGTCCCCCCCCAAAATTAGTTCAGTTAATCAGTTAACATAACAACACCGGCGTATGTCAAGTCACGTGACTCGGGTCAGAGGTAACTAGCTTTCCAAGGACGCAACATGGCATCGTCGTCAAAGAAGGTTTTCGAGGTGTTTGTGTCTAAAATACCATGGACCATTGCAAGCAGTAAGCATGCTTTTTTATTGGAAACATAGTTACTGTATGTTGACAATTTTATGTTAGGCTATGAGCTTTTGTAGGCGCCTTTACCTCATGCTGGGTGAGTGCTGCCTTGACATTGGTTGCTATCCAGGCTAACTAGCTAACTGTGTACAGTCAAAGATTACGACCACGTCCTCTCTAGTATAGTCATTTGCACTTTGCGCTTTTGGCTTTGCTAGCTAAATTAGTTAAGCTAACTAGCTACAGTAGGAGAACATGCAGTATAACATGTTGTCATTATTTTCTTTCAGAGGAGATGAAGGAGTACTTTGGGCAGTTCGGTCAAGTCAAGAAATGCCTCCTTCCCTTTGTAAGTTCACCCTTAACAGATTGTTTAATTAGTGAGAAACCCAGCCCTCTGATATCACAATGTGGATCTTCATTTGACCTACAGGTAGCTGCAAAAGTAAAGGAAACATGCGTAAATAAGCAATTGACATCCCATCAAGCATGTATAAAAATGCCCAGTTGCTCATGATTTTGGCTACCATGGTTAGAAGAAGAGATCTCAGTGACTTTGAAAGAGGGGTCTCAAAAGAGTGAGTGAGTGAGTGAGTGAGTGAGTGAGTGTGTGAGTGTGTGTGTGTGTGTGTGTGTGTGTGTCAGTCACCAGATCTCAATCCAATTGAACACTTATGGGAGATTCTGGAGTTGCGCCTGAGACAGCGTTTTCCACCACCATTAACAAAACACCAAATGATGGAATTTCTCATGGAAGAATGGTGTCGCATCCCAGACACTTGTAGAATCTATGCCAGGCGCATTGAAGCTGTTCTGGCTCGTGGTGGCCCAATGCACTATTAAGACACTTTATGTTGGTGTTTCCTTTATTTGGGCAGTTACTGGTATATCACAACCTCTATATTCACTTCACAATGTATATCTTCTAACAGGACAAGGAGACGGGTTTCCACAGAGGCTTCTGCTGGATCGGCTATACGTCCGAGGAAGGCCTGCACAACGCTCTCCAGAAAGACCCACACATGCTGGAGGGAGCCAAGGTATAGTTCGTTAGATCATGTTATACCCTGAACTGGGGTGTGTTCTCTAGGAACCAATCAGAACCAAATGGAAATAAACAGAAGCAACTGGAATTAAACATGGAGGGACCTACCTGAGTTCCTACCAATAGAGTTTCTTCCAATAGAAACTCTTGTTTTCGTTGCAAAATATATAAGTTTAGAGTAAACTGTTACCGTTGCAAAACTTTTTGCAACTGTTTGCTACAGTCTGTCTAATGAACCCCCCCCCCCCCCCCCCCCCTGTTGTTATTGACTGAAATGTGTATGTTTAGTTTGGAATGTATGTTGATTTTCTCCATTCTAGTTTGAAAGCTAATGTCAGTCTGTCAGTGGTTTGAAATCAAATACACTCCATCAGGCAGTGTGATAAAACAGTGTGATATCACTCCCCTTAAGGGAATTACCATGTCATTAACCCCTTAGAGACGATTTCCGTGGCCTGCGGAAATTCATTTAGCATAATAGACATCCGTCAGTTTAAGCTAGAGATGTGTTTTTTTGTTGCGCATCCGCCAATGTCGCACTTCCGCATCTGCAGTGAAAGGTGCTAGAGCGGTGTTTGTCAGACCATGAGACGTCCCGAAAATTGGTCTTCTCACAAAATCGTCTGTAGCTTCCGAATGGTTTGGCCTACAAACTATTATGACACCTCTATGGAAAGATGAGACTCTCACGAACACGATGGTGTTCTCCGTCTACGACCCTAACAAGCATCTTGGGACTAGTCTGAAGTCGGTACAGCCGATCTGCCAACTTCTGTCTATAGCGTTCAAACAGTTTGGGCTACACATTTTTTACATTTTTACATTTTAGTCATTTAGCAGACGCTCTTATCCAGAGCGACTTACAGTTAGTGAATACATATTTTTTTTTATACTGGCCCCCCGTGGGAATCGAACCCACAACCCTGGCATTGCAAACGCCATGCTCTATCAACTGAGCTACATCCCTGCCGGCCATTCCCTCCCCTACCCTGGACGACGCTGGGCCAATTGTGCGCCGCCCATGAGTCTCCCGGTCGCGGCCGGCTGCGACAGAGCCTGGATTCGAACCAGGATCTCTAGTGGCACAGTTAGCACTGCGATGACACACTAATATGACCCCTCTCTAGGACACCCACAGGCCTCACAAGACTCGTCTGAAGGTCTCCCGGTACCAGTTGAAAAAATGAATGAAAGTATATGGAGACTGTTTAGTGCCAAAAATAAGGGGTTAAATACATGTAAAAAATTAATATCCTGATCTTTCTTATATCTCTCAGATATAGGGCAGACACTTCAGAACAAACTTCCTTTTGATTGTTTGGGGGGACTATATGTTTAATGTTTCATGTAATGAATCTGTTATTCAATGAGTTTGTATGGGCTAATAGCAGTAAGGCCAAATAAAAAAAATGCATCACTAATATTTTTTTACTTTTTTTAATGGTATACTTCAAGGCGTCTTACAATACAAAATCAAATGGCTAAATGTCCTTGGTATGACCTTAAAACAATTCCGTATAGCATAGTATAATTCCCCCCCCCCCCCCCCCCCCCCCCCCCCCCGGTTTAGACAGGGCTTAGACCGTAGAGAGTTTTAACCAAGCTAAACATGTCTTTCTCTCTCCCATCATCTCCTTTCAGCTTCAAGTTCAACGAAACAGGAAAGTGTTTACGGGACAGAGAACAAACAAAGAGGTTGTGGAGGAAAGCTGAAGGTGTGTGTTTGTATGGTGTTTGTATATGTGACGGGGTTGAATTAAATACCTATGGAAACAGAACTGGTCCATCCAACATTCATTTGTTTGTTTTTCATAGTATGATGTCTTCATATTTATTGTAATTTGTCAACAACAAAAAAAAGAGACATGATTACTGTGTCTGTTTTGCATGTCTACAAAATGGATGAAGGGAGAAGTGTGTTTCTTTTGGCATCCCGTTAGTAAATGCATATTAAGACAGACGAGATGAGGATGCTGATGGTAGGATATCTCTGTTATTGTGCTTCTGTCATGATCGTTGATGGCTCCGTTACACACAACCTCTGCATCTGTCTGTATTAAACTATGAGTAGGACTATCACTTTTCTCAATTAAGTCAGGCATCACACTTCACTGTCAGACATTTCACATAATAAAATAATGACTGATTTACAACTTAGTTTCTCATTCCTCTTCCCCCTTGTTTTTCTGTGTAGTGGGTTTAGTCTGGTTGAGTGGCAGTACATTTCATAGTAATTTCTTAGTTAATAGATATGAAGAAAAACAGGTGGACATTTTGTTTGGAATAAAAAATAAAACATTTTACTAATGCTTGATATTGAAGTTATGGCAACAGGTAATGTGTTTGTAGTTTCACACATACCCCAGTTCTCTGTGCTGGGAGTAGGATGTTAGTCGAACACTTTAAAGAATGTCATAAATCCTCCTCTCTCTTCTTCTGCTGCCAGAATAGGTGTCTAATGAAGAAGGTATAATCTTCTCTCCTCACCTGGGGCCTCGTTTATAAACGTTGCGTACCTACAAAATGCAGTGTACTCCAAAACATGTGTGCGCCAGTTTTCACGCAAAAGTTTGCATTTATAAAAAAAACGGAACTTGACGTGAGAATGTTCTTATCTTCCCGCAAACGTTAGACCATGCGTACACACAATTTCTTATGGTTGAAGTATTGCATTGTGTGCTGGCAGTAGCATAGTATTTAGTGCAAATGGCTGATATGATGACACACTTATTCATAACAAAAAAAAACGGGTAAATATAATAAGATGCAATTATTTGCCGTTAGTGAGAAGAGTGAAGATCCATTTATTTTTGCATCTTTGCTTTCTTAAATAATTAGAAATATCCATACACTGAGTGTGCAAAACATTAATATTGAGTTGACCCCCCCTTTTGCACTCAGAACAGCCTCAACTTGTCAGGCATGGACTCTACAGGGTGTTGAAAGCATTCCACGGGGATGCTGGCCCATGTTGACTCCAACGCTTCCCACATTTGTGTCAAGTTGGCTGGATGTCCTTTGGGTGGTGGACCTTAATACACACAGGAAACTGTTGAGTGTGAAAAACCCAGCAGCGTTGCAGTTCTTGACACACTCAAACTGGTGCGCCTGGCACCTACTATCATACCCCGTTCAAAGACACTTAAATCTTTTGTCTTGCCCATTCACCCTCTGAATGGCACACATACACAATCCATGTCTCAATTGTCTCAAGGCATGTCTCCTCCCCTTTATCTACACTGATTGAAGTGGATTTAACAAAAGACATCAATAAGGGATCATATCTTTCACCTGGACTCACCTGGTCAGTGTATGTCATATGTCATGGAAAGAGCAGATGTTCTTAATGTTTTGTCCACTCAGTGTATTAACGCCCACACACACAGATATACAATGCATTCGGAAAGTATTCAGACCCCTTGACTTTTTCCACATTTTGTTACCTTACAGCCTTATTCTAAAATGGATGCAATTGTTTTTTCCCCTCATCAATCTACACACAATACCCCATAATGAAAAAGCAAAACCAGGTTTTAGATTCTTTTGCAAATTTATAAAAAATAAACTGAAATATCACATTTACATAAGTATTCAGACCCTTTACTCATTACTCTGTTGAAGTACCTTTGGCAGCGATTACAGCCTCGAGTCTTCTTGGGTATGACGCTACAAGCTT